TTTTACGACTTGAAGTTATTTCTGTGAAAATAAATTTCTTAAAGATTGATCAAACATAAATAATAAGATAACGAAAAATTCGATCATTATCTTTTTGCATGAAAAATAAAACCAATAGAAATTGATAACAATTCTTTATTCTTTTTTGTCGAATAAAAACTTTAAAAAACAAGAGTAGTATTTTACTCAACTCATTGATACAATAATTTCGGTATTGATTCATTTGAAATAATAAATCATATAAACCCCAAAGTAAAGTTAATCTATCGAGGATTCAATAGATGAGAAATTTCTATAAATAACTATTCTTTTAAACATATTAAAATAATAAATAGATATTTTATATAAGACTCTTCTATTCATTGAAATCTACTAAAATCATTGAAAAATTTAAATCGATATTACCTGCTCGTTTCTGAAATATAGATTTTTTTCGATTAAAATATATTGATTTAATTTATCAATAAATCAAATTTTTGAGTAGTTTCAGTTTTTCTCGTATTCATTTAAGATCTATACAGATTAACGATTGCGAAATTTAACTAAATAAAAATAAAATTAATCAATAACTATCAATAAATCAGTTTCTTATGAATGATTATGAACGAGCTCAATCTTTGTTCAGAACCCTTTTTAAACTCTATTTATTCGAAAATTTAGTAAATAAAAAAATTTTTTTCAATCAAAATAAAATAATTTCTACTTCTTCTATCAACACAAATTAAGTTTTAATGATCATTTTTATTATAAATATTATAAATAAACTAAAAGAATGTTAAAGGAAAATGAAATAAATAAATATATGAATGTCAATTTGTTCAAGATAAATTGAACTAATTAAATTGAATTCATCTATGAATGAGATTCGAATAATAAAAAACGAATATTTTATTCTAATTCTAATTTAATCAAATTCATTTTTTATAGCGTTAAAATTAATTTTGAAATTTTAAAACTTCTTAAATAAATAAGATTGATTTTTGATTTCATTAATAAATGTTAATAATAACATTAATATACTGAAATGATATCAAGACAAATAAAATCAAAGCGATAAATGTGCCAAACTATTAATGAAAGCAGTAGCGTAAGTTCAGTCGTGTAATGAGAGTTTCTATAGAACTCTCCTACCTAAAGTCAATGATAAGATTGTCATTTTATTCAATAAATTGGACAATACAATTGTAAAATTTTTATTGGGCACAATAAAACATTCAATGCACACAATGGTATGACAATTTTCGACTCTTGTTTATCGGCTTTTAATTCAACAATAACTTTTATTGATTGACAATAAACATTTTGTTGATAAATAGGAATAAAAATAGATTTTCAAAAAGAAAAAAAATCTGACTCATCGAAAATTCCTAAAAGAATCAAAGAGATCATTTCAACTCTTCTAAATGAAATAATATTAGTAAATTAAAAGGCTTAAAAATATAAAATACATATTCGTTTGAGATATTCATTTTTTCGAAGATATTCATCAAAATAATTGAACTACTTATTCCCACACCCTAAAACGCAGAGATCCATCTACTGTCTCTCAATAGTTCTAAATCTTCCATTAGCATTAAATCTCTCCTACTAAAAATCCATCAACAGTTTAAATTCCATATGACAGTCCGATCGAGACAAACATCTAAAATAAATGATAGTGTTATTTCTTTCTTTTTAACATTTTTTTTTCTCTTAGTTTATTGTTCCCAAATGATGGGGTTAACAAATTAGAAAGTACGTTACAAGATGAGATTGGCGAATAAGTGAATAAAGAGAAAACAGAAAGTTTAGTTGACATGAAATCATATAAAAAATAATGACATATCAAGAAAAAGACGAAACAGAAAAAAAAATAAGTAAGAATAAGAACAGATAAGTTGAGGTTTGGTTTGATACCTCATAAAGTATATGACACTATTTCTTTATTTTTTTAACATCATCATTCATCACTGATAGTTTAAAAGAAAAGCTCATAGAATTAAAAGAAAAAGAGAACTAAGTTCAGTTTGATCAGAAGAAAGAGCAGTGATACAATAGGAAATGAACAATCATTGAAAAACGATTTAGACAAAGAGTAGTGCTTGCGGAAAAAAGACCAATATAAACTACCAAGTGATAAAAAATCTATCATTGTTCTTTAGATCTTCTAGAATCGGAATAGCTTGTACGAAGGAGGAGGAGAATAGATCCTCAAATAAGGTGGAATCACCCTTTTTTGCCTCGCATTGTGTATAGAGCTAGACCGGCAATTAAATGATCATTGTTCGTGTTGTACAATATTTTCATAAATACTAGTTGTCGCTCCAATTGCATTAACTTTCGAATTAAGGTTTTCATTGAGCGGGGCATCCTGAAAACATACAGATAATATTAATTCTGACTAGGTTAGGTCACAGTTGCCAAAAAATGGCAGTGCTATAGAAGTCGAAGATTTAATTCGATATAACCTACTAACAACGACTGTCGATCCCTGATTGAACATGAGCGATGATTGTTGCAAAGCAGAGGTGTCCACAGGGCCAATTTTATTGCCCTGCCTTAGCAGGGCAAAATCATTTTCAAATAATTTGTGTGCTGCCCTGCCCTGCTAATTAAGAAGAATTTTTCATATTTAAATTCAAGTTTAAGAAATATTTTTTATTTGAACAATAGTTCAGCAAATAGATAAATGATCAGCAAATAATAAATTAGCGCTAACTGAAAAAGTTTATACGATGATATTGCATCATCACTGATGATCCATCAGTAGATTGGCTTGTCCACGTAACCCGCTACTTCGCTGATCCAGTTTTAAAAATGTTTTGTTTCGATATAAACAGATCTCAGCGTATTTTCTGGTACAATTTTTTTTACACTGGTTGTGAATTAGGACTTTTTTTCTTAAAAAAAATTGGGTTTTGGCATCGAAAATTAAGTTTTCATAAATTGTATTTTCAATTTTGTAACCAAGAAATTTAAAACGAAAATGCAGAGTAATATTGTTACAGTCATATGTTTATTCCTTGACTCATCGACGTTTGTATACTCATTCCCTGACACATATTCCCCCTATATATACTCCTCTTTCTTCAATGATAAAGTTAGTTCCATCGTTATGGTACTCATTCGNNNNGTGTAGTCCTTCCCGGATCATGGATCGGGATGGCAATTCCTTGATTATAAAGTAATCAAGAATTAAATTCAAAGAAAATTTTATTTCGAGAGCTTATCTTCCATGCGTTCAACGATGTTGCTTATATGTCGCTGTATGTTCATAACAAAACGGTGAACGACTAGTCGACTGACAGAACGCGAAAAATATACGACACATTTTTTTCATTCTAAGTGCGACACAAAAATTTACGACACATTTTTTTAATGGAGAGCACAACACAAAAATTCACGACACATACAGCCGACGCATTTTTATTTAGTGTGTAAAATGCTTTTTTTCAAGGCGTCGCTCATAGACAAGTCAATTAAACAAGGGTTTTGTAAGAGTACAAACAATAGATCTTAATGTACGAAGTGCTGCAGAAATTTACTAGACATGCCTAAGAGAAAAAGCTTGTCGATATGATTACTGGAGAAGCAATTGATCGAAGAAGAGATAGAATAAATTCAACGAAATATCTTATGAAAACCTGTTTAAAACAGAAAATAAGACTCACCTTCATTGTTTATAATAGTTTGTATATATCGATGATAAAAATTCACTGGAGACGTTGTTGCTTCAACGACGGCTACATGAGAATACGATATCGATTTATATTTGTTCGTGTTCCAACTAGATGAATTGAAGTTGGACGATGAAGGCCGAGTCGATATGAATGAAGTAGAACGTGGAGGAGAAGACAAACTCCCAGAAACATTCGGCAAACAACCAAAACCTAAGACATAAAGATTTTTATTAGATATGAATGAATGATAATATTCGAATATAAAACAGTTGAAGAAAAACTGAACAAAGAAAGAACTCGTTGTCGACTTATTGCTAAGAGTAGAAAATGAAAAATTACTTGAACTCTTCTCAAATGAGAAGATTTTTTTTCTGAATATGAATTTGTTTTTGTCTCCTCTCTTCACGTTCGTTGAAGCAAATAACAATGTGCGAACTTACCCATCAAACTTATTTCTATCGTTTGAGGACAGAGAGAGATGTCAACGTAGTGATTGTAACAGGCCCATCGATGACGATAATTCTTGTCCAATTCACGTCCAAGAGAGATCAAAGCGGTTTGATATTCATGTACGTGATAAAATTCACTGGATAGTCCATCGATCGAAGTCATACCGAGTGAGCGAAGAGAATGAATAACGCGTCTTTCAGATGCCATTTCATAAATTACTGTTGATAGATTTTCGACTCGATTGGGCCGTTTTTTTATTGAATCTAATTTTCTATTGATTGAACGAAGTTCTTCAATAGGAGAGTTTTCAAAACATCCTTTTTTTGAATCTGATTGTTGCGCTGTGATAGATGAAAGAGAAACGAGGGACGGTTTACCATTTCGTCTTGTTCACTGGTTTCTTTTTCCTCTTCTTCGTCTTCTTCGTCATTCTCGTCGTTTATATTCGTACAGCGATCAATTTCAAGAATAATTGGAATATGATCTTCCGCTGATTATTGTTTGCCGTCGAAGATCTTGCTAGTTGTTGTTGTAGATTCTACAAGGAATCGAGTTATTCCCAGTAAATGATGTTGATTTCAATATGAGATTTTTTTTCAAGTTTATCCGAAATGAGAATAGAACTTACCAATGTTGATTGGACTACCAATCGTATTTTCATCACAACTAATGCCCAGGTCGATCAAAACGGACCAGTGTAAACCGGCGTAACATTATCTTATTCTATAGAATATACGGCCGTATTACTGCCCCTGTTATACGGGGAAAATACGGCACGTAAAACGGGCCGTATTTGTATCGTATACGACCGTTTTCTTCGACCGGGGTGGTTTCTAAGATGGACATATTGTCTACGATACGTCCAATCTTCGTTGATCTTCGTTTTTTGTTTTATTTTTTGGGTTTGGTTTTCTTTTTCTTTTTTTTTAATGATATTTCTATGCCTAATTCAGCTTGATATATGTTAAAGGTTTTTACTCGTTCATCAATATCTTCTTCATTCATCTGATGCAATTGAACACCCTTAAATTTGGTGCTGGATGATGATAAAGTACGAAGATCACAAAGACCATAACGTTCACCATCAGGATGATAAAACAAAAATTGAGTTGGATTGGCTCCGAGTTGTATAGCATTAAAGTGGAACTTATCCATAAACTGGATCAGAGTGTCCAACGTGGTAATGGGTTTACTGATCGTCCATTTCTTGTTAATAACGCCGAAGAATTCAATCATCTCGAATAATATCATTTGTCGATTTCTAGTAAAAATAATGATCAAATTTCAAACTGTTTTCTAGTTGGAGAAAGCACAAAAAAAAGCATAAGAATGAGAAAAAAAAACAAAAGATTCATTTGAACTAATCAATATTGAAAAAGCATACATACCACGAAACAATCTTTTTAATGCAAATCTGAAATATAATATATGAATACATAATATTATTTAGAACATCGTTAATTTGTACCTTTCGTTTTGCAGATTATAGTGTAAAAAGTGTACAATAAGCTAAAAAGTTGATTTCTAGTCATAGAAGAAAAACTCTATTAAGATATCACTTTTATTTAATTTGTCGCGTTGATAAGCTCACGAAAATTCTAAATTCTAAAATTCATATAAAGAGGAAAATCAATATGATGCAAAAATGCGAGGACAAATTTCTGAATCTGTAATCGTCGAAAATATTCGAATTTCAACTAAGACTAATGCATTCTAAAATATGCTTCTTTTTTAGTGTAATCCTTTCTTTTATCTTTTTTCGTTCAAAAATAATCTTAATACGACTTCACATTCATATCAGATGATCAGCACACGCTATAATAAGTTACGTTAACACTGATATGGAAGCTGCCACAGCACCTCTACCTATTTTTTCTATTGTATAAGACGCATCAAATTTTGATCTCGTTCAATAAAAAAAATTCTTTTAATTTTTATAACGGAACGAAAATTTTGTCAAAACAAAAGTGTAAAAAGAAACTCAACGTGTACACACTATTTTTTATTCACCCTCACTCTAAAAAATCAGGACGCATTTAGTTTAGTTTACATGCAAGACGTTTCGTCCGCTAAAACAATAATATACAGTATACAGTGGCGTAGGCAGGGGGAGGGGCATTGGGCAATTGCCCGACGAATTTTTCAGATGATGACATTTGCCCAATGCCAAAAGCTCTGATACGAGTGCATTTTTGAAGATCACACTGACGTTTTATTAATAAATAGCTGCTTATCGCCATTTAATCAATCCATTTAAAAGGATCGATTGAGATTTGTTTCATTAAAATAATAAACATGATGATTACGTTGCTGTTATATTTTTCGGTCAAGACTCCTTGTTCTACTCAGTATCGTTGATGTAAAATGCTGGTGGATTCTCATGTATTTTCCTGATTATATAAGATTATTTAGAATGTAAATAACTAAAATTATCTAAGAGTAACATTGCTGAAATAAGTAATGGCATGGCTCGTGCAACTTAAGAATTAAATACTTAAAGGACCTAGGTGAGAATTTAAAGAAAAAACAATTGAATGCATACATGAGGAGCAAAGTTGCACCTGGTAGGACCTTTTCTTTAACGACATAGTTTGAGAAGGGCAAGCATTTACTGTAATATCTAAAAATATAACAATCCATATCTAAAATATAGCAATCCATATCTAAATTATATCAATATTGCCTAACTTAATACAGTAGTATCTATTCTGGTGAAAGGATACCTTTAAAAAAATTGTTTAATCTAATTTTGTAATTCAACATCTTTTAAATCAATTAAATATCTGAATTAAAAAAGGTTCTGTCTTTCAATTCAATTCAATATCTGAAATTAACAAAACGTTAATTGGTGTGATTTTGATATTATGAAAAATGAACAATTATCATTTGTGGAATGTGAATTTTTAAATGAAAGTGAAAATTGGACAAAAAGTACACGTTCTTGTCCAGCTTGTGTGCCGATATTGATTGCACGCTTCGATGATTCTCCTTCCTCTTCCTTCTGTTCTCTTTCCATTGGTGTAATATCTCTCTCTCTTGTCTCTCTTCTATCTCTCTCCTATATATACGTGTGTTATGTATGAAGTTGTTACACTCTAGAGATGTCAGATGACACAATATACCATCATGTCGACGGACATAGGCGACACTCTCTAGTTGTGTCGTTACACTCTGGATATGTGAATAAACGAATAAACATCATTACCTAGAGTAGCGGTAAGCTACTCCACCTCTATCCAGTTTGTCATTACGATATAGACTCAACTGAGTC